CAATTATTTTTTATGCGCCAAATGTAGTATAGAAAGTTTGTTCATTTGTAGTATTTTATTATAACAAAAAATTTGAATCATAAAAATTAAGTTTCGAAAGTACAATTTTCTTCTCTTTAATTTTTTTTCTAAATTTAATTTTCTTTAGTTTATTTGAGACTTGTCAAATCTTTCAACGAATTAGTATCAAATATTATTTTTACAACACTTATTTTGTATCACATTTAAGTGACTAATATTACACAAAAACATAAAAAGTTAAAATTATATTTAGATTCTAGATTTTATTCATACTGCAAAAGGGGGTTTAAGCCTGACCTTCTATAGACCTAAGAGGTGCAAAATATCTAATCAGTACAGCAATTGGTTGGCAGTCATAGAAGTGTGACTGATATGGACTCGTGGGACTTTATCCCAATACAAAACTGTCCATCGGCTCCCCCCTCATAGGCGCAATGGGCACCTCGCCGATAGCCCCTTTGTTCGAACAGGGTCGACGTGGCCCTGTTCTAACAGCTTTTTCCCAATACAAAAGGCTGTTTAGTCAATCTCCTACCATTACATGGCAATAATAAATTGGCCTACGTAGCCGGGCTGACATTTGAGCAACATTCCTTATGCAAGTACGGAAAATTTTCATAGATAATTTGACAAATAATACGTGGTGGGAATTGATTGAAAAAAGAAAACAAAAGGCAATACAATCATCTGTGGCCACGTCGACATCGGTGGGAATTCTGTCAAAAATTTTATGTACTCATGACTTTTTCCTTTGAGCAAATCACAATTCATCCTTTTTTGCCTGATGATCCTTGATCTTCATTGTTTTAGAACCTAAAACTTGAGAGATTTCAACCGATGCCCGATAGGGGCATGCACCACAGTTTTTTATTGTTGAATCACATTGTTTTGTACTGAAGGTCCTCAATCTTTCTTTCTTATTGCATTTATTTTCTATATCTTTCTTGTCGATTTCTTATCTTTGACCTTCCATTGAATAGCATATTTTGATCGTTGACGGTGGTTTCTGTCCTATTACTTTTTTTTCGTTCTTTAAAATTAAGTGAAAATATCTTATTGCACTATCATATTTATTTAAAAATACGAGTAAATCCGAATGAACTTTTAGAATAAATAGAGGATTGAAAATAAGATTTTAATGAAAAAAATTAGGGATATAAGGACGACAATAAGTAAAGATTTAGAAATTGCAATTATGACGTGGTGCACATTCAAAAAAAATAAATAAAATTAAAAATTTAAAAAAAAAAAAAAAAAAAGACCATGGCACCAATATAATTACCCTATGGGCACCCCCTTCTCTTCAAGATTTTTTGACACTTGGTAGCACCACCACTTGCCGCCACATCTTCACCACCAGAAAAATCATTTTTCCTTTGTTCTTGATTCTTTTTGGTATTTGCCATCTTCTTTTTTTTCTTCTTCAAACAACGTACATTCTTCATCCCATGACCAACGTGTTGACATTTTTAAGTAGAAAAGGTACTTTGACAGGAAACTTGTTGCCAAAAACCTCTCTCGGTTTCTTGAGCAATCCAAATTCAATAATCAATTGTACTTGCAATGTAGGCCAAGGCCGACTTTCCATAGAGACAAAATAGAGGATTTAATATTCAAAGAGAAAAAATAGGGAAGTTCGTTGGAGAATTTGTTGCACGAGTTTTTGCAGCAAAATAATCTCATATGATAGTGGACAAGTACCAAAAGGAGCAATAAAGTGTGAAGTCAAGCTTCAAACATCACGAACCTACTTTAAATAAGATACTTCTTTATTTTAATATTATTTTTTAAGTCCACTGTTCTAATTTAGTAAGACCATTAAGTTTTCTTTTTATTTAATTAGTTTATTTAACCTTTAAAAATAATAAAAAATAATAAAAAAAGACTAAGATAAAAAGCTCCTGAGCGATCAAAACTAGATTGAGTTGTTATTAGATCACTAGTTGCAAGAAGTATTAATTAAATCGATAAAGACTAGAAGCAGAGCCCATGACTTGGGCATGGTATTGGTGCACCGTACAATTCAAACGAAAATAAAAGGAAATCCCCTTGAATAGGCTTAAGGATAGGGCTGAAAAAATCAAACTGTTGTGGCAATTAATGATAAGAGGTGATTTTTTTTTTTTTTTCAAAGTGTTCAATCCCAAATCGACACGTGTTGGGCCTATTTTTGAGTCTGTTTTTTAATCTGTTCCTGCAGCATGGTTGAAAATAAGTGAAAATTACAAAATTCCAAACATTTCAAGATCATAGTGCAAAAATCAGGTGGCTTTCCTATTCACAATTCAGGTATTAATTTAACTAATAATATTTATATAAATTATATCAACCCTATCTCATCCCAGTCTAAACCCTAAAATTCAAATTCATTTCTCTCTGTTTCTCTCTTCTCACTCTCTCCACTTGACCACAACTCCGGCGTCGCTGCCCACTGTCGGAGACTGCCACCCACAGCACGCCGATGAATAATCGTTGCTGCGTGGACTTTGCATAGATCGGAGGTGTTGGCTTTGCACACTGTTTCTCTCTCAATGCCGCTGCAATGTGCTTAAATTGGATGGTGATGGTTGGAACGGCACTTTGTTCGATTTCTCTTGCAACACCACTGCAGCTACTCTGTTGGATTTTTTACGTTGTTGAAATGGTGATGGTGGTGTCGGGATTTTGGGGGTGGTTGGTACAGGTGGTGGTGGATTTGGCGGTAGTAGGGTGGTGTTGGTTTTTGTTGGATTTTTTTTTTGGTTGTTGGAATGGTGGTTGGATTTGACGGGGTGGTGCACTGCGGTGGATCTAGGTAGGATACAGGTGGTAGTGGTGACGACTGTATTGTGTGGTATGGTGTGGTGTAGTAGATCTAGGTAGCGATGTGGTGTGGTTTGGCAATCTGGTGGCACGAGTTCGATCTGGGTGGTTGACGGCGTTGCACTGTGGTGGTTGTGTGTGGTGTAAATGGAGATAGAGAAGATGGTGGTGGTGGTGATGTGTTATGGGTGGTGCGGTGTGTGATGGTGGTGTGTTGTGGGCGTGGTGGTTTGGCGGTGTTATGGGTATAGTGGTGACTGGAGATTGTGGTGCTCATGAGGCGATGGTAGTTCTAGCGGTGGTGGTGTCCAACTATTGTTGTGTTGTTGTTGATGTTGGTGGTGGTTGTGGTTGTGGTGGCAGTGACAAGTGGGCTGTCTGTAACCAACAATTAGGTGTCTGTAACTAACTATTTAGACATCTGTAACAAATGATTTAGGTGTCTGTGACCAAAAATTAACGGTGCGATGAGGGTGGTGGTGTTATTGCGATTGGTGGTGTTTGCTAACGGTGGTGGTGCGCTATGGATGTAGTGTGATATGCGGCAAAGCTGCGGAGGTGGTGCAAGTTGATGGTTTGGGTTGATTGTCGGTGTGTATTTTTATTGGTGATGGTCTGTGACCTTAAAATTTGGTCCGTGACTTTAAAGTTTGATAATCTGTGACCAAAAAATAATCACGACGTCAACGATTTGGTCTGTAACCTTAAAATTTGATAATCTGTGACTTATAAACATTTTGATTTGTGACGTCAAAATAATCTGTAACCTACAAAATTTTTACTTTGTGACCTCGAAAAAATTCGTGACCAATTGATTTGATGATATGTGACTAGTAAATAAATCTGTAACCCATAATTGTGAATTTGTGACCATTAATCGTGTAATTGTGACTTTTTATATTTAATTAATAAATATTTTCAATTAATTATACAGAAATCTAAATTTTGAATTTTTAAACATTGTACCTGATTTGTAAATTGGTGTAAACCATACACCTTACATATGATTTTTTTCCCTGAAAATAATATACCTTATGAATAGCCCAGCTTTATGCCAGAATACCTAAACATTGCTCTTAGCTTTATGGTAGATAATATTATTTGATTCTCCATTCAAAAGAATGTCTTTTAATACATCATTTTTTATCTGATCTTCAAAGCCTCATTACGCCACCACGAGAATAAGGAACTTAAACAATTGAGACTCAGCGCTACAAGTGATACTAAGTGTGAAGTTCGATGACAATTGATGTAATTAACCCAATTTCAAGTGGCGAGTTATATCAGCAAGCTAACGTTAACATCATGTATCGACGATGTAACTAAAAGGAGTGAAAAGGTTTGGTGAGGCAAATGAACAATTTAAAGTCCAATAGTGACACTAAAGACATAATTCAATGGCAACTTCTATAATTAACCCTTATATTCTGTTTATAAATTTACGAAACACCATTGAATTTACAATCAATTTCGATTTGACGGTCAAAATTCAGCTCATGTTTGAACCCCATTATTTAAAAATCATCATTTTCGAAGTTATTTTCAACTATACATTCTCTCAATAAAATAATTTTACACATGAACTAAAAAATAAATAAATAAATAAATAAATTGAAAAATTCTACTTGTACATAATTCTATACATAAGGGTGTCCACACCCCTCAAATGGGGTGGGGCCCGCGCTAGATGGGCCCCACCTCATATGATGAGTGTGGACACCCTTATGTACAAAAATTATGTATCTCTAGCATAGTCCAAAAAAATTTCATACTTTTTCACCACATTTTTATCCAAAAAATCAATATTACAAAATCTATTCTCCAAAAAATTAGGTTTAAGCAAACCCTAATTATTTCATTATCATCAATGAGCTTTAAAAAAGAATTTCAGTTAAACGACTGCCTTACGATGTGTCCAAATTTCAGTATGGTCGCTTGCATGTCATAATGTCACGTAAGAATAATTTATAGTTGATGGCGAAAGTGAAATTTAGAATAAAGTTGAGTGGTCATTCGTAAAACTAATCCAATGGGCCTAAAGTAATCTCTTATACAAGAAGTGTACATGTAGCTTTGTCTAGGCCGAAGTGTGAATATTCGGGCCCACTAACATCTACCCCTGGGCCCAACGATTGCGAGATGCCGCCAGAAAATGAGCAAAATGCACGTCCAGCGTATTTTAGCAATGGCCACTTACGTCCACTCTACAGCTGATCTACCTCAGATGCGCATTTTTTTCCACACTCTCACAACCTCTTCTTAAAAGTAAATAAACTAAATTATGATATTTCTCTGAAAAATTCGATTCTATTCTGGAAATTTAATGTTTCTGAATTTTTTTTTAAAGTTTGAATTTCGATGTGTTATTTAGCCGTCGGTGTTTATTTTTCAGAAAGCTTGAATCTTAAGGCATCTCAGGATGACAAGTGAGTTATTTGAGGTATGAATTTATAGGGTTTTTATTTTCTTAGAATTTAACTTTATTTTTCACCCCTCCTCTTTTCGTAATGATCTTTATAATTCATGTATTCTAAAGAAACTGAATTTATACTTCACTGTTTTAGGTTAGAAAATTCCCTTTGACACTAATTTTGCCGTTTGTGCTTTAAATAATGATAATCTGAAATTTTGCGGGTCTTTAGGTGTTCCGGGTAGAAGACATCACTTAATTTCATCTCTATATGTCGGGAAAGTTGTATAATTGAGGGAAATAATCAAATAGCTTTGCTTTTTGCAAAACTAAGTTTGGAAATAAATTTAGAGATTGGGCATTAACACTTCTTGGACGTGGGGCTTGATGGACGATACTCGGGAGGATGATAGGTACCCGTCCAATCCTTATGGCATAAATGACCAAGAGTTTCCCATTCGGAATGCCACTTATGTTGGGAATGTTGGTAATGAGTATGTTGAGGATGAAGATAATGATGATGATAACGAAGATATGGAATATGAAGACGATGATGATGATGATGGTGGAGGGTCTAGTGTTCAGAGGATTAAAGATGATTATGCTGATGATGATGTTGATGATGACGATGAAGATGAGGATGAGGATGAGGATGAGGATGATTATGGTAATTTACAGAGGCACCCGAAAAAGAGAAAACTGAAAAGCTTGTTGTCGAGTTATGAGTTTGCACCACGAGTACCAGCACCATCATCTGCAACTCCTGCGGTGCCAAAGCCATCATATGGTGGACGGAATCCGCATACAGATTGGACTGAGAGTGAGACTGTTATCTTACTGGATGCTTGGGGTGATCGGTTTCTTAAGCATGGGAGGAAGAGCCTTCGGTCTGAAGAGTGGCAAGAGGTTTCTAAGAAGGTCTCCCAGGAGTCAAAAATTGAGAGAACAGATACTCAGTGTCGGAACCGTTTAGATACATTGAAGAAAAAATACAAGAAAGAGAAGATGAAGTTGGGAGAATCTTGGGGTTCCACTAGTAAATGGGTGTATTTCAAGAAGATGGATATGTTGCTGTCATCAGGCCCACAGCAAGCTGGCCTATCATGTGGAGTGGACTCAGGGGAGTATACGTTCATGAACCCTAAAGTTTATCTGAATAGCTCCAATGGAATGGATGAGATGAGAGATAGCCCAGGGAATTCGGAATCCACCAAAGGTGAGGAAGGTGTTCCGGAGGGTCTCCCTCCTAAGAAAACGAGGAATGAAATGGGTAATGGAGCTTCTCTTAAATTGCTTGCTGATTCCATCCAGAAATTTAGCGACATATATGAGAAGATCGAGAACAGTAAGAGACAACAAATGCTGGAACTGGAGAAAATGAGGATGGACTTCCATAGAGATTTGGAGATGCAGAAGAGGCAGATTCTAGAGAGAGCTCAAGCTGAGATTGTGAAAATACGACAAGGAGATGAAGATAATGATGTGTCTGCTGAGAATGTCAGCGGTTAATGTATCTTGTCATCATTGTATTTTATCCAGGGAATTATCCCTGGATACATTGTTGTGTGTGGGGATTATTGGATGCTGGCAGTTGTACTATATCCACGGTTGTAACCCTATTGGTCCTTGATCTTCAAGGCAATAATACTGAGATGATGAGAACATTTATTAAAGTCATAGTAATTAAACTTTTTCTTAGTTCTTTTCCGTTTTATTGATATCATGTTAATTGTTATTCTTGGGGAAGGATTTCTTGTTTGTTGAATTCTTTTGTCGTTTTCATCATAAAGTTTTCTGTTGACTGGTAGTTGTTATGAACTCTACTAATCTTTGCATGTATAATGACCAGACACACAAGTGAGGTGCTGTGTTTTTTTTTTTTTTTTTTAAGATATCTATTTTGCTGCTTATGTCGTGTTTACTTGAAACTTCCATTAAGTTGAAATCATTAAGGAAGATACCTAAGATGCTGAATCCAAATCTGTTGTTTTCGCTGCTTTAGTAATTCCTAATACATATTTTGTCATCTTGATTGTTCTATTTCATCTATTTGCATAAGAGCATTGTTCTGCAGCTGAAATCACGTATTCCTTATTTTGGAATGGCACTTTGGCTCCGGCACGCTCTTAGATAGGCATGTTTGGACTCTGCATTCAAAAAAAATTTCACTTGATGCTTCCACCCATGCTCCTGCCCTAACAAGTGGTCGGCGTAACATCAGGTATGCTAGAATGTGATCTTTAATATGAAGTAACATAGCTCATAAGTTTGAATGCTTATTCTGAGGTCACATGAGTATTATATACCTTAATTTGGAAGGTTCATCACGGTGTATGTAGAATTATTATCGCGTTTTTATAATTTAATGTGATTGGTTGCAAGATTTCTGTTGTTGCCTCATTCTATTTACTTTCCCTATAATACTTCGAAATATGGAAGGGAAAAGAAAGTTCAATTATCCATTTTTCTGTAAACTGAGGTAGCAACTACCAGCAAAAGATCTTCCTAGAACCATACATAGTGATCATATATAGAAGGTAAGTAGTATATATGGTTGAAATGTTGTCCAACATTTTATGTATTTTAAGGGGAGAGATCAAATTTCTCAATGATTCTTTGTCAAAAGGGGTATCAATATATCTGTTATTGGAAAACTAGAGCATGTTTGGCTAAGCTTAGAAAATTGTAAAGTCCTCGTGTAAAGAGTAACATAAATTGGCAATTTAAGTTATTTAAAAGTAGGTTTCAAGCTTAGCCAAACATGTTTTTATAAGCACGCTGCACTCAAGATGGTAGCTGTCATTCCATAAAGGATCTTGGTCTCAGATTTTGATCTTTGAAAACTCAACAATCCATGCCAAGTAAACGTACCATTTTGCTATCATCTTAGGATCATGTTTTGGGATTGTGGAATTTTATCATTAAGCTCTAAACAAAGATTATAAAACTCGTAAACTGTACTCGATACGGCTTATGTGTTAACCGTAGTTTGTGGTTCAAGAATCTACCATTACGATGTACATATCTATGAATAATCTTTTTTCACTTATTTGAATCCTTGTCTACTTGTTTTTGGGAATTTTATTTTCTTTTGTATTGAAAGGTATAATTTACAAAATTTTAATTTTTCTAGCGTAGTTTTCGACATGGCACTGACACGGACGAAGATGTTGGTCACTAAGTGGTTTAACCGTTAAATTGGTGATTTAACATTCTGATCAACTCTTGTCAATGTTAACAAATAAATGAATAAAATAAAATTATTTATATATAATAGTGATTGATAGTAATTTTCATGCACTAAATTAATCCTACTTTATTTTTAAATCTTTAGAATTCAAGGTAATGAACGATTTTTAAGATGAAATAATATTGGAAAATACAATTTTTCCCTTTTTTTCTTTTTTCTTTTTTTCTATTTTCTTAGTTAGATCTAGATCATTATGAGAGCTTGGAAAAGAAAACACATTCTTAACTATGAAGAAAGGTGTTGTGTTGGTAGCACCTGTGTGGTCCTCTCTTTTTTTTCAGACTATCCAATGAAACGTTGACAGTTCTCTTCATATTTTTAACCCCTGTCACCTACCTTATTTGTGTAGCAAAACTTTCTTGACTATATGCAAGCGTTACTACCTTTGCACTTTTATTATATGAAAAATAATGCTAGTTTACATACAATGGATTGTCAAAAAAGAGAGTGAATAATTTTTTTTCCTTTTTTTTTTTTGGTAGATTGAAAAAATTCTTACCCAATTACATCTCACCATATCATGTGTGTAAACTATTTCAGTTTGTACCCCC